AGAAACGAGCTGCAGACAGAAAATGTACAACAGGTTATCAGGAGTTCGAAACTGCTAAAACCATGACCGCATCGAAGGGGTGGTATAGAGGGCACTATCTGAATTAATTCAATCAATATAGAGAACAAATGATGACATCTCTAAGGAGAAAGGTGAACAACGACATTATCCTCTTCTACATGTCAACCAATGATAAATGTTGCCTGCATATATATCGACAGCCTAAATCCATTCTCAAGAGTGTATAATTGCAATCTTCACAATAGGCTCAGCCACAGTGAAAATAACAACTGAAATCGACCACATATATCGTTTCAATCAATCCCCATATTACAAGAATGACAGCACAGATTTTACAGCATGGCCTTTCTCCCAACCAAGATTATTGATATTTCTAAATCTGCAAATAAGGGAAACGAGATGGCCGAAAACTAGCAAGATAATGCAAAGAATTTTACCTGGATGAGCAGATTGTGCGACCAAACCTAGAGGCGATTCTTTCTGTACAAGAAAAAGGAAAATGCAAACTAGATACGTTAGCATAAATTAGATATCAGCACAAGAAAAAGTACAAACAGTGCGGGGGAATTAGCAATGTTTTATCAAGCCAGTTGAAATGTGTGTGCAGGGATTAATTCATTTGTATTTTGTGGCACAATGGTTTGCATTTTAAAATGTACAATTCTACCAAAAAGGAAAATAAAAGAAGTCTACCGACTCTAAAAACTTGGTACAAATCCGTTACATACAACTTGGTGCTGATAAAATCCAGAATCATTGCAACCTGAACAATAAGTATGTTGTCTCTGCCTCAAAACTGGCAGAGCACAATGGTACTGTGTTCTAGTTGTCAATTGATGTCATGGAGGAAGACAAAAATGCCCTAGGAGGGAGAGAAAAGAGAGTAACACAAGAACAGGTCTGGCTCCATACCATCGAAAGAAATTGGACGTGGGAAATCACACGTCAGTGGAGTGTGTAAAAGTAACTTTGGAGATTTTTCCGATGAAAGTCCTGTTGTATATCTTACAGCACTATGACTTACATATCTTTTGGTTACAATATTAGAGTTTTACCATTCTAGATAATTGTCTAATCAAAGTGGAATTGCATCAGACATATTTTCTTGTTGCTTCATAACAGGACAACTTTGGCAATTATGGTGTATTCAGGAAAATAAGTTGATATAATTAGAATCAGGGTAAATTACACAGGCCCCTGCAATATTTCAAAAGACTCTAATGACATATGAATTTTAAAGGGCCTCCAATTCCATCTCCAACCCCAGCTTCCACAATATTTTCATCATTTATATCGATGAAAAGAACTTTCGGAGAAATGAGACATTCATAAAATTTTATCTAAAGTTTCAGGAAACAATTTGGGAGAGCATCACTTGAGGCTAAAGATGTTCAAACGATCATCAACAGCTTCACACTATACAGGAAACAATGCCTGCTATCTTACTTCTCTCTTTGGAAAGTACTAGCAGAGCTCAATCCTCAAAAAGCGAAGGCCCAGCCAAAAGTTCTGAGTTCTTTTGGGATTTTGAGACTCCACAAGATCTTGAAAAACTTGATAAATGAGAAAGGCATTGATCTCCATAAATAAGCTAACCAAATAACACCTTCCAGGAGAAACAATCACTAACTTGGATGCCAAGAAAACTGATCCCAGTTATCTACACCTTGCACATTGATCTTGAGTGGGTAGCCCATACCAGACTGTAAGCTAAGCAAGGCAAGGAATAGATTAGATGGTTGCTCTCTTCCCTCTGTCAGTCAGATATATGGGCTGTAAGCTAAGCAAGGCAAGGAATAGATTAGATGGTTGCTCTCTTTCCTCTGTCAGTCAAATATATGGGCTGTAAGCTAAGCAAGGCAAGGAATAGATTAGATGGTTGCTCTCTTTCCTCTGTCAGTCAAATATATGGGCTGTAAGCTAAGCAAGGCAAGGAATAGATTAGATGGTTGCTCTCTTCCCTCTGTCAGTCAGATATATGGGAAGAGAGGCCTCTAAAGTCTCTCGGCTTTTCCAAGGATTTTTTCTTTTTCCCCCCCTTTTGTAGGATGAAAGAAAAAAAAAATAGTTCTAAGAGATCGTAGTCCTTATATCTCCTAAAGCGCTTTCCAAATGGAGCATATGATTGCCCCGCCCAATTTACCACAAAAAATTGATGGGTCAAGCAAGCCCTAAATGAGTAAAGCCAAAGACCCCAAGAGAGTCCCCACATCAAGAGTTATTCTCTGCAGATGAGTAACTAGCTTGTCATAAGAGTTCTGACTGAGACGAGTAGCTAGTTTGTCAAAGAAAGGCTATAAACTCCTATTTGGGTCCCAATCATTGAAAAATTCTTGAACTTAAAAGGTTTCAACTTCCATTGGCACCTTGTCACCAC